GTTTGTAGCATGAAAACAAAATTAAACCGTTTGTTTTGTATTGCCTACTGGTTAAACAATTATGGGGAGATTTATTTCGGCAATCCATCACCCTGTCAAGTAAGTTTCTTTGTGAAATGTTTTCCGAAATTTCCCTGTCAATGTTAGACTCTAGAACGGCCTTATTTCAATTGGTTAAACCCTTACACACAGTAACTGCTAGCATTCTTTAGCATGGTATTATATAGTTATGTTTCACCTGTGTTTTATTCTTCTATTTACATTGTGATTTCATTGATAGATATTAAAAGTGTTCAATGCTCTGAAAAGTTTTTGTGTCATTCCTAAGTCTCTACATTTGTCATCGATTGCCTATGATTCATCTTTAGGTTTTTGCGTCCTTTTGCTAAATTCACAATTTCACAATTCAGCTAGATTTCGGGCCTATTAAGAGCTGGACATATTATACAGACACTTATCTAATGTAAAAAAACACCGCAAGATGTCGTGTGTATTTTAACAGGAAATGTCAATTAATCAATATCTCTTTTATCATTACTATCTATCACCACTACCGACGTCCTGTGCTAATATGCACCAAAGAGTTGATTTATTAGCATGAAAGATTACGAAGGATTTGTCAGTAACTTAGCTTTAGCATGTTTCAAATGAAATATTGGTACTTTCACCTGCTGCTGGAACAATGTTTTTTCTTCACTTTTTGAATTGGTTGCTACTATATTAACAAGGACGAAACATTCACTACACGATATAGAAGCAGCATTTATAACTTCAACAACATCTAAGCATGGAGATTCGGGACTATTCCAGCCACAATTTACAGTGTGCTTCTAAAATTTGTCCATCATTAGATATGCAAACATCAACAGTATAAGCCACTGTTTGCTGCAACATTGCCAAACATCCATATTCATTCTTTTTTAACTTTCAAATGTTAATACAAAAAAGCACATTTATATGTTTATAATAATGGTTAACAGCTGTCGGACTTAATTTGCGAAATTTTCTGTCAGTATTTAAATCTTTCTACTGAGACGGCGTTGGTTATATCTATTAACTTATTATAGGGTTCTACATACATCTTTTACGTTTATAACAATTCAACATAATTTCCTGATAGCTAAAGTCCAAGCTAGACAAAGGCATATGATTTTAATCTAGTGATGTCGTAATAATGGAGAGTCTTCCAATGTTTCAATTGTCGTAGCCATTATCCTGTCCTCTTTTATACGCTTATGGCATCACCGTATGCGACTTACCACCGAACTTTACTTGCCATAATATACACGTCCGGTAACACCAGTGAAGCAAGATTTGTTTATCTTATTGGAGCACCTGATATGATCCCGGTCTATGGTTGGGTTCGTGTTGCTAAGTATTTAATTTCTAAGAAGTTTTTTGTAGACCTTTGTTTTACTTTCGTCTTTTTTACTTTTTGAACAGGATTTTTATTTTTACCCTCGTATCTTCTGCCAATTTGTTGCTAAATCTGTACACACAGGGATATCATATTCTTTACTCTTTTATTATTCATTAAAAACAAACTAAAACTGCAGAAATTCAGCATTATTGGTAGCATCACGACGACGGCATGTGTGTTATTTTTCTTTACATTTGCTTGACAATTTCAGACAACTCATTTGAAATGCTACCAAGCCTGTTATATCAGTATGATATTTTAATTGTTTTCAGCCTGATTTTTACTGCCTCAATGTCTATAAAAGATTCTAAACCCTAAGTGCTCCCGTACAAAAATCGAAAAACTTGCATATGTTAAGACATTTCATTCAATGTAATGAAACAAAAATTGAAAAAAAACTATGGATGCTTTACTCTGTCTTGAACTAGTTTGAACTATTACTCGACCAGTCTGAAACAGTCTTAACCCATTCTCGACCTGTACTCGACCAATTTTTTCAGTCTAAACCATACTCGACCAAAGGTCTGAACAATACTCGACCAGTCAGAACCATACTTGACCAAAAAACCTTTACTTTTTTTTAAATTTTAGCTGTTAAAATTAATTTCTTTTTTTCTGACATGACAACAGCCACAATAAAATAAAGATATATATAAAAACATATTTTTACATCCTTACATGATTCTCAGATTTATCAAATAGAGATAGTTAAATTAAATTATCTTATATAATAATTTGATTATATTAATTTTAAAGATTTTCTTTTAAAAACCACACCTTTACTGAGGGTAATAAAACCTTATTAAGGTGCTTCTTGTTTGGCATGTGTTTTTTTTTTTAAACTTAATTTTCCAAAATTCCTAAAGAAAAACTATATAGGTTTCATGGTTACATACAATAGTTATATAATTATCTTTTTAATGAGGTAACAACAGCCAAAAAATCACTGAAATTGTTTAACCTTATATTAGAAATATATCTATTCTTATTATAATTTGGGATATATTATATATAATATATATCAAAAAGGGATAAAAAAAATTAAAGAAATAGATAATTTTTTTCTTCTGATTAGTGGTAAAGTATAAAGTAATACCTCCTGCTTGGGGCAAACTCATTTAAAAGATCACACCTGGTCAGAGAGTATTACTTTCTAATTAACATTCATTAAAAATTGCAACATCCTGTAAAACTTAAATCACAAGGCCTTTTGAATTCACTAGATAAGTAATACACGAGTTTAAGAAAAAAAAAGGGCTTTCTTTTTACCTGTAAAACACACATGTACTGAGGTAATTAAACCTTATTAAAGTGCTTCTTGTATGCCATGTCTTTAATTTTGACAAAAGTTATTTAAATTTAATTGAAATAAATTTTTTCTGCAACTTTGGAACACATTTCCTTTTTTAAATGGTTATCAAGGATTGCTATGGAAGTTCTAGCTAGTATCATGATTATATTAAATTCTTGGTTTTACAAAACAAAGGTGTGATTTTTAAAATTTATTATAAATTGCTTTATATACTATTTTAAATATGTTTTAATAAAAAAAATGTTCACTGCATTATTAACTAAACTCAACTGACACCATAAATCTATACAAGGCTTAAGTAAATGGTGAAAATTGTCCAGCAACCATAAAATATATCTGAAACATTAAAAAAACAATTGAATAACATTAAAATATAAGTCACAATTCAGTTTTGAGATTATTTGATCAGCTTGTTTTATTTTTATTTTAAAGGTGATATATATATGTAAGTGTTGATAAATATGGTGTTGAATTTACATTATGTTTATTGTGAAATTTTGGTTTCCATGCCATATTGAATACATTTTAAATTTCAAATTGTTGTTCAATTTCTAGCCAGGGGAAATAGCTGTTAAAACAGTTCCTAAATTGATGAAATACAATAAATAGATACAAAAATTAGGTAAAGGTTGGTTAAGACTTTGTCGAGTATGGTTCAGACTAGGTCGAGTATGGTTCAGACTAGGTCGAGTATGGTTCAGACTAGGTCGAGCATGGTTCAGACTAGGTCGAGCATGGTTCAGACGAAAATAAAATGGTTAAGTACTGGTCGAGTACAAGTTCAGACTGTTAAGTATGGTTCAGACTACAGTCGAGTATTATCAAGTAAATTTCAGACCAATTCAGACTGGTCGAGCAAAAATCAGTACAGTCGAGTACAAATATAGGCCATTTCAGACTTTTACTGGTTTGTAGTGACTTCAAAGGGGGTTATGGTTTTTTTTTTCTGAGTCAGAATTTTTTTTTTAGTTTTTCGACGCTATCAATCAAATTATATATTTCAAAATCTAACACTATAAGGTATGGGGAAGATCTGGATTCAAAATATTTTTTTTTGTCATCTGCTTGACCACAATATTTTTTTATTATCAAATTGGGGATCAGAATATTTTTTTAGGTATAAAAACATAACCCACCCTCTTGAAGTTAAATGGTCGTTCCCTCAGTAGCGATATACCAACTTCACCTGCATATGGGATATACATTTCCCAACTCATTCGGTATTCAAGAGCTTGCAGTTGCTACCCAGACTTTATAAAACGTCACCAGTGTCTGAGCAGAAAGTTGATGAACCAGGGTTATGTCAAAGAACGTCTCGTCCTTTTTCTAAAATATGTCATCGGAAGATACCAAGACCTTGTTGATAAATTTATATTCCGTATCAACTTCACAAATAATATATGATGGTCTTGAAGTATAGATTCTAGGTACGGACGTTCTTTATCATCTTAATTACGTGTTATAGTGTTCTTTTGTATGTCTTTGTTAATTATTAACCTTTACTGTTTAGTCCATTTTTGGTAATATTCTTTTGGCGTGGCTGGGTACTTATGCATCCCGCCAATGTGTTGTGCTGTGATCATTTTTTGTCTTTCATTTTTGCCTATGTGCGTTGTCTATAAGCCATTTTGTTTTTCTTTGTTGACATAATTGTTTGTTTTATGTTGAGAATAGAATAACACAATGTTGACTGCTGTACCCCTATTTTTGACATTTTTACCTATAATGTTTGTTCGTTTTGTTCACACATTGTTGTCAATATAATGGAATTCAGTGCGACTGTCATACAAGTGAGAAGTTTAGCTAGCTATAAAACCAGGTTTAATCCACTATTTTCTACATAAGAAAATGTCTGTACCAAGTCAGAAATATGACAGTTGTTATCCGTTTTGAGTTTTTGATTCTGCCATTTGATTAGGGACTTTCCGTTTTGAATTCTCCTCGGAGTTCGGTATTTTTGTTATTTTACTTTTTGATGCACGTACACTTAACAACACGAGAGTGTGGAAATAAATCCGAATGCTCATAGTAGAACAGCACGTACCGTCTCTTCGCATCAAAGTGTGGTAACATAGATTATTACATGATACAGGTTTCTACTTTTCTTTTCAATATATCCCCTTTTCTGGTGGCGATAAAAATATCCCGTCTTTCATCACAGTCTACTTACATTACAGAATTCATTCTCGGCGTGAATATCAATGCAATTAGTGTTAATGCACATTAATCGTAAAAAACGATCCCAACCATAAGAGTTAACAGGAACTAAATTTTTTGTTAAACCTTTACTAGTATTTAAAATGCTATTTTTCTGAAATAGAGCATATACAAGTCACTATGATGTGGTGGGTATTTTAAACTACACAGCTATCGAATTTCTACAACTTTTCATAAGACATACAAAAAAAGTTCTATACACATTCAAATCAATAACAATCATCAATATGTCCAGTTACTTCTATTAACATTTACAAAATAGGCAAAGCAGCTCACCAATACCTAGTCTCTTCAAAGTACAAAGTAATACAGAATTACAAAAAGAACAACAATACAAAAGCAAAAGATTATAGTTTCTATTGTTATTATAAGATTACAGAACAGAAAAATGGTCATGCTGTCATTTGACTTTCTGAAACTTAATAATACAGCCGTTCTAGTACAAGTACATTTCGTGTAATGTTTTTTTTATAGATAGTAGCAACTTTACAAAGCTTGGGTTTTATCGCCTACAACTGAAAAATAACTAGTATCGTTATGAAGTTCGAATTCGTCATCCTTCGATTATATTTCCGTTTAAATGACTATCTTAGTAAGAATTATCAATTAAAATGTCTAAAAAGGGACCGAAAATGATTTTAGGTTAACATATTTGGATGCTTAACAGGAAAATATCACACCCACAAACGATTTTCAAAGGTCAGAAACGGAGGGAAATCAAATTTTTAGACTAAACCGAGCTCCCTTTAAGAGAGTGTCAAGTAACCGGAAACTATACAAGCCATCGACGTTTGTATTGCAATTCTACAGTTGAGTAGAAGTAATATTGTACGAGTTATAACCTCACAGATTTATGTACTTTTTTTACTAAAGAAAATGAAAACAACTCTTTATAAATTGCATGCGTCCGAAGCGCTTTTCTGCGTTTAAATTCACCAGGAGCGCTCAAAATCGAACATCTCAAAAATTATATAGATAACATATTCGGTTTAACGTTCATTGAATCTTTTAGACATAATAAACCTAATCGGGAGTAAATTCTTAAGCATGAAGGATAATTCACATCATTAATCTGTTATCAAATTTACATACTACATTGTACTATTAAGCATTTGAATATGTTATTGTATTTTCGTATACTAGTTGTGTGTAAATATTAAGAAACACACGTCAAACGTGATTTTTTGCAAGTTGATGCCTATTGCACACTCGTTTAGGGAAATATAACTTCATGGAACATGTCTGATATAAAGCACTTTTGGCACACTTGTTTTTCTCAAAACAAAGAACATAAGTCACGCGGGAAAACGCATGTATACTATCACTGCATATCATTTGTTATGCTCTCGAAAGGTTGATCATCTCTTGTCGTGCCCCTCATCTTTTTCTGAAAATACAAAAGAAATAGTACATATATAATGATCTGATAAAACAATATCAAATGTATATGAATTAGCACATGAAAATGTATTCCAAAGGCTGAGCCAGTTTATTTTTCATTTTAACATGCTGGACGGAGTAGTCCAAAAGATAAAATTACGCAGACATTAACCATGTTAACAGTCAGACAGACAGTAACCCAATTTATTTTAACATAGTTCTTAATTCGAGTCTTCCATGCAGTGTCTGTCTCTACTCTACATGATGCATATGAAGGGAGAAGCTTAAAAAAAACTGTAAACTCTCCAGTTATATCATGCAATGACCAAACCGCAGTTTCGTATATTAGAGGCTAGCATGCCACAAGAGACCAACCATGGCAGTCACCAATCATAATAGTTTTTTACTTCCACCAACTGTCTTGTTTACAATATTTCAGGATATGGCTAATGACGTCGTTTACGTGCATTTAGTAATACGAATTGTATGGTACATGTTCAATATATATCATAATTTCACCTTATTTCATATAAATATCACTAGTAGATGCAAACTTTACTACGATACATATATGGTTTACACTATCGAAAATATAAATTGTATTTGTTTGTATGTTTTGGTCTTTGTGGCTGACGCAGTTTTAGCAACCTAGGTTATATATCAGGGCGGTCAGTATTTATTAGTGACGAAAATCGAAGTACCCGGAGAGAACTATCAATCCTTGTCAATTAAGATCGGATTCAACTTCACCTAACCACGAGCGTGATTTGAACTCACACCCTTATCTTGACAGACTATTGATCAATGTTCAGAAACTACTTAGACAAATCGGCCATCTAGGCCAAGCAATTTATTTGTCCGAGAATAAGGAAAAACAAAGATTATCGCGAATTTCCCCTGTTAAGCAGTGGAAATGAATAATTTCATTCTAGGATGATTTTTCAGGTTTTTTTACAAAGCCGCGGAAACTGCTTCCCTTTATGACAAACTGTGTAATTGCCTATACAAATCTGGTAGAAACAGTACGTCGGTTGCTCCTTCTATACGTTATTTTAAATTTCCCCTGGGATACAGTTGTCCTTGACATCAGGTGTTTCCTGTTGCAAATTATTTTTAAAACTAAAAATGAAAAGTTAATGAAAAGTTACTATTCCAAATTTTTGTCTGATATTAAAAAATGCATTTCTTTTACGTGAAGAGATCCCGAAAATGAACTGTCAAGTTAGCACACAAAAGATGGCAAAGTAGAATATTGGATGCGAATTTGTTTGTACTTATGATTTTCTGCGGGATACAAATGTTTTGTTCATTTGTGTGTATTTTAATTTAGCACGTGTGAGGATGCCTATAAAATTCAAAATTGGTAAATATATACTAGAATGTTGTAAACTACACCCATTTAGCCTTGTTTATATGTATTTAAAACGCGTGTATCAAATATATGATTATTTTCACAATTACTTGTGTTAAAGTGAAGACGACAAACGTAGACCTGTTTTAGAGACGTTATGGATATATATTATAATGAATTAACAAGTCGATAACAGGCAAGGATTAGTCCGTGGATTTTGTCATGTTTTCGCAATTATATATTTTATCTAAAAATATCTGAATAGTCCTATACTGACCTCAAACCTCTTTTCAAAGCAGATGTCGAAAATCAGAAGCCCAATGCTAATCACGATACCAAGTAAAAGCAATATAAATAGACTCCCAATTTTATCGATAGATATCCCATCAGTCCTAAAAAATAGTCCTGACTGGAACTTCTTGTCCTCAAAGGAAGTGACGTACTTTATGTAATCGTCATCAAAATCAGTGTCACATTGATTCTTGTACCATTTACTTATCAGCTCTTCAAGAACGCCATTTTCTTTCAGTGAGATCAAAGCAACATCTAAATCATGACATGCATTTAAATCCAGTCTACACGCAAAGGAGTAAGACCGACGAAGTTTTGAATGATGTACGAGCACCAGGTCACAAGGAGGTTTTCCAGACTCTGTACGTGCAGAAAGTTCCTCCGTGATAAAAACATAATCACCTTTACTATCACGAACACGTTTCACTCCTTCAGCTGTATTCTTCGGCATCTGATCTTTAGATTTCTTTAATTGTTTTCCAATCGCTTCGTCTGTCTGATCTTTCGCATTTACTGTGAAATATTGGTATGTCATACTATTAGCAATAACTCCATATTCGACTTCTGATTGGTAGAGCAAATCTTCAAACGAATGAATTGGTGTTTCTAGGAGTTCGTCGTCTCCGCTACGGAACACGACAGCAAGGGAAGTAATGTATGAAGCAAAGATCAGGATAACAAATATACACCAAAAACATGTGAGCATCTTTGCAGAACGAGATGTACAAGTCGATGGACTAAAACTGCCTGTAAAGAAATAAATGTATTGATAATTCAAAATAATAAAATAAGTCAGATCTTGAAATATCTTGGAATATCTTTACTTATATACAACAAAAATATACCAATTAATGTTGTATGCAAAGTGTTTTCGTTAAACGATCAGATTAGGCACATCTCGCCAACATTGGTCCAAAGTCTTAAACGTTATCGTTCATCTTTTCTCCGTTTTGTTTTCCATTAAGAAAAAAACAACAAAAAAACAATCGTAAGAGCTGAGGGATATTCTGCAAAAGAAGTTACTTATTCTAAAATCCATGGCCCTTCGTTTTCATGACAGCGTTTTATCACAAACATATTTCGGGGGATAGAAAAGAAATTATTTCGATTACGCGACGGAATTTCCGTTTATGACATAGATACAAATCAATGCCTTAAAATCTGCAAATAAAGACGTGCTTTCGACAGTCGCTTAAGTACTGTACACTAGTCAGTCAGCTTTAATTCAATTTTAAAAAGGCGGGATTAGAAGTGACTTCCAACATCAGTAGAATGAGTTTTAGAAATAACAGAAAAAAAAAACCAAAATTTGCGTTGTATTTCAAATAGAAGAGTGTGAATTGTCCAGAATTTCCAGATATGAGATCCCCGAAGTACTGCTTAGAGCAATTAATTATCCTTTTACCATCTGCATATTTTTTTTTATCCCCTGATCGACGTAAAAGGAAAATACTCCAAAGATTAGTTTTATAGAGTAAAATGTTTATGTGAAATATCTAAATGCAGGAACTTTTTCAAGGATGGTATTTGTGTGTTGATGACTGATCAATAATATTCACTGATAGTTCACCAATTGCATTTTTTCCCTTCCGAAGCCCATGAGTTCACGCAGATTTTTTGGTGGGGTTCGTGTTGTTCAATCAATTTACTATAGTCAAATTGTCCATTTATATGTACAGAAGAAGTAAAGCATCTTTGAAGCTTCACAAGTATGATAACATGGAAATTCTTGAATATTTGTTCATCTTTTTTTTCAAATTTCTTATTAATATTACTCAGAATACAATATATATATCAACCTTGAAAACAAAATCTGTAAAACATTATGGGAAATCCACGAGTAATGTTCTTCCTAATGTTGTCAGCACCATCCTCTTCCATTGGATCAAACCTGTTATAGAAAGAAAATGATAATTCTAATGAATAATGTAATAAAAGAACAGCGTTTGAATGACTCTCGCTAATCAATGTCCTACAAGAAATGTATGCCCGATCTTGCTTACAATGCAATTTTCCGTTTCGTTTTTGTTTCCAACGAGCATAGTTAATCGGCGATGATTACCGAACGCATCTAAATAAATACTGATATAAATCTGTTTCTATGAATTTTGTTTAAAATCTGACAAGAAAAGTAGGCTTGAGAGCGATTTCAATTCAATTTTACCCAGAGTTTACATGTCCAAGGGTATAACTCTTGATTAGAGCAAATGGTTTACCTCGTCCGAGACATTGCTGGTATAAACCTTTGACATAAATCTCATAAAATCCTACAAGAAAATGAAGACTTGAAAGTGCTTGCAGTGCAAATCTCAATATAATTTAGATGTTCAAGGGACAATTTGAAAACTCTTTTAAAAATAGTTAATCAGCACTAATTTTTTTTAACTCTTCCACTATGACTGAATACCTTTTACATAAATTTCCTAAATGACAGGCATTATTGGATGCCTGAGACTTCATACAAGGCGGACGGACGGGTAGGTGTATGGTATTTCTTTTGTTCCTCGCGCAGAACAAAAGGAAACGAGAACATCTTGTCACAGTGTTATCCAACTTTGTAAACACGTGAATATATCAGATTGGGGTAAGAAGACCAATTTCCCATGTTCTTTTGAATCACCATAACACATTACATCAATAAACAATTTTGTTATTTTCAAACCAGATTACGACAGAGTGGCAATAGCTCTGATTTTTTTCGCAATAAGGTGGTAGGATATTCAAAATATCTCTCTACAAAAATATTTATTTACTCAGTTTTTGTGCTAATGACTTAACATTGGATCCTTTTTAATGACTTATATTCAATCGTAATAACAATAATAAAAACAATTATTAAATATAAAAACAAGCAAAGTTCGCTAATCTGACTTGAAACAATCCGAACTACATGCCGAGACAGATCCACATGGTAAAAGTATTCAAATTTGATATTTTCCAGAAATGAATTAATTGTTTTCAAATCTTGGGCAGTTCGAGTGCATTTCAATTTTCCTCAAATACCAGAATCGCATGTTTTTACGTAAACATCATGATAAAACAAATGTATAACAAATTTACAAACCACCTACTCCCTCTCAAAATCAAATTGTCTTCCACTAAAACAAGCATCACATAAAGCCCAGTGGCAAATATTTCAAATTTCAGGACCGTACCAAATTAGTCAACAATGAATTGAAAGGGTAAGTTCGTCCTACAAAGGGGGTTTACGGAGTTTAAAGGGCGAAGAAAAGAAATTGGATCAGGGGCGTGTTTTTTTTTTTACTTGCAGCAGGCCTAGGTCACCTACTGATGCAAACGCTATTTGACGTGCAGAGAGCATGGAACTCTCCCTTCGTGAGACATCGAACTTAACGTTCCAATTTCGACCGAACAAAATCATACAAACAGTTTTTTAGATCTCTTATTGCTGATCAAGTTTGTCTTTTACATTTACATCCTCTTATAATTTTAAAAATACATGTAAATAGGCAAATTCACTGACGGCTGAAAAATATCATCATTTAGGGAAAATAGATCCTACTAGCATGAGATTGTTTAGTAGAACTTTAAAAAAAAAGGTTTCAAAGGAAACCCTTTAAGGGGGAGGTCTTAAATTCTGTGTTCTTTAATTTCCAGACAATTTTCTCTATCCTTATTATATTTATTTTTCATCCCTCCCGGGCCTCCACCCAATTATTTTTTTTTTTCATTTTTAAACCCCATCCTGACCCTCATCCTGTAGTTGCATGCGTTCAACGCACTCTTATAGATTGACACTTCGAGACAATTTCATATAGAATTGTAATCTGAATTATTAAAGCCTGACCTCTTACTGCTTAATCATCAAGCACTTCATAGTTACGCCAATGACAAATAAAATCTTACTGTAGAATAAGTCCGTAAAGCAAAGAAACAATGGCATAGGAACAAATAACAGCAATCCATACTCCAGTTGTGAAAGGTTTGAGAAAGCTAAGTAAACCCTTCCATCTCTTCCAGGATATTCCATCAGCAGTAGGCTTTTTCATAACAATAGATAGTCCAAATTCTAGTACTGGCTGCGAAAAATGTACCGCATTTGCTCGTTGGACTGTAACGGTCATTGCCGCTGCTGCTATATCCGATTGCTGGAATAAAATTCATGTTTCATAAAAATTATTGTTCGTTACATGTCTGATTCAGGATATGGCGTAGAGAGCGTAACCCCCACCCCCCTTATTTTTTGAAAGCAAAAACAAAAAATAATAGCATGCTTCGCACGATTTAAAACTGTCCAAATTGTGTTCAGTAATTTATTTCATTATATGGAATTACGCCCCACCCCTTTTGAAAATACTGGATCAGCCCTTGATTTAGATTATCAATGATAGTTTTAAATGTGTCCTACATCCCAAACCTACTTCACTATGAACAACAAATGTAATCTTGTCTCCCTTTCAGGGTAACATTTCTGTGGAAAAGGAACATCCGGGGGCTTGTTGTTAATAAGTTGTTTGATTTTACATATTTTGAATCTTTTTATAAAGTTGTTTCAGGGGAGGGGGAGTAGAAAAATATAGTTTGTTTCTACTGCATGCAAATAAGTAAAGAAACTATTTGTCCCTGTATTCTTTTGAAAAAAAAAAAATTCTTATTAAAGTTGAAAAAAATGTGTTCCTCTAAGACAGAAATAATGCTGTTTTTGTTTTTGTAATATGGAAATATGTGTTTTCTTCTTCTTTTTTTTAAATCTTTTTTTTTGGGGGGGAGATGGTTTCAAGAACCTTCTTGTAAAACAAAATCTGTTATATTATCAAAATCTCATAATGTACTTCTATTGAACAATTGTCTTCCCGTACTCTTATTCGTCAATATTTGCTCGTTTGCAGTGACCTTAACTACAAGACATCTCGTTAGAACTCGGCTTCCGCACAGCGCAAGTGCGAGGGGAAATCGTGAAACAAACGTGCACTGGAAGGTAAATAGTAATGATCAGTAATAACTGATTCTTAAAAAATAAATTAGATACACCAAATCATTTAACAACTGTTAAGGAATAGTTTATCAACAATTGGGAACGCACATGGAAATATATAAAATATATAAAATAATCAGTGGCTTTACTCATTTTTGACGTTCTCCCGTGCTCTTTGGTGATTGTTTATCTATGTCATGAACCGATAAACTTCTGCACAAACTCAACGGTTAACTGGCTAATGAGTTTTCGATCAACAATCAATGAATGAAATATTTTTATCGATAATACGTTAAACATTTGTACTTTTGTTATCCATATATTATGCACGCATTGGTTCAATATTTCGATAACATTATGAGTACAAGAAACTTAATAATTATAGATGTCACGTGGTGTGTTGTGTTCTTCGGTTACTGTCTCAGTTACGGATATTACACATTTTATTTTATTTGTAATAATGAATGTGGTTTAGGTAGTCTCCCTTTAATTGTTTCAGATTAGTACTTTTCTAATTAAATGTTTATGTTATGTTTAATTTGATCTAGACAGGCTAAAATACAAAGTAGCTTTAATATTTTAATTATAAAAGTATTTAAATTTTTATATTACTTTATATATTTGATGAATATTAATTCATTCAAGTTTTCTTCAATACCATATTTTTATTTATATCTTTGAAATTGATAACATTTTTCTTATCACTTGATCAGGAATTGCTCCGGTGGGGTAAACACAAAGATAAAAAAAAAAATCCCCACACGTATCTGTGGAGTCGGCAGTATAACGCTGGTTCAATCCACCATTTTCTACAAAAGAAAATGCTTGTACCAAGTCAGGAATATGACAGTTGTTATCCATTCGTTTGATGTGTTTGTATTTTTTATTTTGCCATTTGATTGGGGACTTTCCTTTTTGAATTTTCCTCGGAGTTCAGTATTTTTGTGATTTTACTTTTCACTGCCACCCTTCTCTATATACCAGCTAGCCGGAATGAATCATTCCACTCGAGTTATTAAACAGCAACTACATTGGCATTATTTTGGTACGATTTTCTAAATTCTAAAACACAACGCGAAGTATACAGTTACTTAATCATCTAAGTTTTTGATTTGAATAACTATTTTATTTTCATTCATTTGACCTGAAATACTTTTCTTTTCCATTTCATTTTTGAACTTAACTTTTGAAATAGTATTCTTTTTCATTTCATTTGACTGTTCTAATTGAATGGTGTACATTTGTAAATAAATTGTTGAGTTCTATTTGATTTGTGTCTCTATTCTGCCAAAATCTGATATCAGGTATCCCGAGGATCGAATAGGGACGAAGTACTAGCCACTTCACGTCCCGGGAGGTGTCGTCACTGACCCCCTCCTGTAACATATTCATATCATAGCATTAAATACTACTTACATTGTTTACAAGCTCTCCTATCATTCCGGTCCAATTTCCGGTGTTGTCTAACATTCCATATCTGCCATCTTGCACGTGCTTCATGGAAAAGGTTGCATTCATCATAGGACCTATTTTGGCCAGAAGGTCTGGTAAAAGACCAACAAACTTTCTTTTATTACCATCACCTTGAGACATTACAAGTGGCGGATGCTGTAAATAATATTTAAATGCATGTTAAGAATGATGGATCCCTTCATCATATATACGACGACATACATGCAAACTGATAAGATTGCCCATGTAAAATGGGAATTTTCAAATTGATTCAATTAGCACTTTTGTATAGAAATTGGTCCCAGTTTCTTCGTCTGAGTGGTACCAAGTCTCTGCAAGTGCATCCGTTTGGCAGTGTGACATGTATAAATACGCAGCCAGGTTCGATCGGGTAGGAACAATATATCCGATGAAGAGAGAATGCTGCGCACTTTGCGCGTTAAAAATACTACCAAAAGTTTTTAAAGGGTCTGTAGTTGGCCTGTTGTATGACAAATTGTTCGTTCCTATCGAACATACCGCCGTTTTCAAGTGGCTGTAGAAATGTCCGCCCATCATCCTAATAGATTTACTATAGCTATTACATTGTTATTGTTTTTTGCCGCCCCCATGAATATTAATGAAATATTTAGCAACACTAAAATTTAAGCAAAAGACAAATTTTTTTTTTCTTTTTAGGGAAAAGGAGGGGGTGGACTATAAACTTTTGTGATAAGGGTGAGCGACTGAGACATCCAGAACCTCACCCTTTTAACATACTTTGAAAAATAGAAATACGTACCTTTTATATTTATACACGAAATATACTTACTAATAATAGCTATAATGATTATGCTCTAAATGGAGAGATAAATAAATTTGAAAACTATATGATGCATTTACGACAAATCTGAGAGAAAAATCTGATTAGTTGTAAATATTTATGATATAATCAGCAACCTTACATATATTACGTCTTAATTTTTCGACCTTATCATATAGATTCATAAAGCTTAAAATATTGACCTCATCCCTACCACACAGTTCATGGTATGTGCAGCCCCCGCTCCCACTCTCAACCCAGCATGATATACATTACACCAACTAAGATTAGAAAATAAAATTCAATGCACTCAAGTTATCTACTCTGTTTTGTGTATTGAATAAGTCGATATTTTTTTTCATTTGACCTTTAACAAATTCGTCTGACTGACTGCACAAAAGGTGTGATCAAATCACAATTTTTTTGAATGACAATGACTGTACAAAATTGACACCGTTCACCAAGCCAGCACCAGTAACACAAAACATGTTTGACCTTTTTCATTCTATAACTGCTTCAAATCGTTTTATTTTATTCGAGGTTTACGCTTTTATTTGCAACCTTGCAGTTTTATGAATAGCAAGGTCATCAAGGTCATGTTGGTTATGTGAGATAATATGTCGGCGTGTTTATGAATCAATTATGGTGTACCTTAACTGTTCCTAATGAGAATGGTTTTTATTTTGCACTGGTTAACGATTATGATAATGGTGATTAAATTATCTTTATCTGTCTAATAATTAGTAGACGGGTAATTTGAGACGTGAAGGATGTGACAAATTAAATTGTTACAGTTTGACATTTATAAAATGTTCATGTATATATGGTATAAAAAAAACAACTATGATAGTTTACGTCCTTCTAATCGAAAAAAAAGTATCAATTTTGGCATAAAATCGTCGAAAAAAATAAGCCTCGATAGGTTCCCCGCTATTTTTACATACTGGCATAAAATCGTCGAAAAAAGTTTTCTCGATACGCTCTGTGCTGTTATTAACATTACTGACAATATGTCACATATACGCCCCTCTCCTTCTTTCCTCAAAACCTAGGTCCGCCATCTGTCACTGGCGATTGGGGCATGGGCACTCCTTTTGTCCTTTCCACTTTTTGTCTGTTTTGGTGGGTTTTTTTTTTTGTTTTTTTTTTCGTGGAAAAATGATAAACGGGTAGCATATATAATAAACTAATGTTATTGTAATATCGTACGGATAAAAGCAAGAGCACATTAAATAAGTGAAAAAATGCTATTTTTAACGAATATTTACTAAAAAAAAATCTACAAAAACAAATTAGAAAGGACGCAAGAGAGGTCAATGCCCTATGCGGTTGTGCCTCCTGTATATTGTAAATAATATGCACTTTTGTCTTGTTGTTGAATACCATTTCAGTGATTCCATATAGATGCCTTCGTTCATTTTTTGTTGTTGTTGTTTGCTTATTGTCTCATTGACGTATATCTCGCATTTACTTTGTATGTGTATTGCAAATACGTAACACTTACAATAACTGTAGTAACTCGGTATTCAGTCAAACCCTGTTAAAATAAATGTGGACTACAATAACTTTTTTTCAAACATCAAATTATTTCTAAAAACTGTTCGTTCATACAGGGAACATAGAGAAAAGGCAAGCAAAAAGCAATAATATATAATTTTAATGTGCTTTACATTATTTCAGAATCTTGAATTGACAAGCAGAGGCAACACAATAATAGTGAAAGGGGAGGGGGAGTAAAGACTAGATTATTTGAAAAATAACGTGTTTAAACGAATGAACCAGAGACAATTGCAAAAAGTAAAAAGACCATCAAAAGGGGCGTGAAATACCCCAAGGTTATACGCTTTCTATATAATAAAATAAATGTACAAAAATTATCCTTTAAATGATATAGTAAAATGAATCAATAAAATTTAGAAATAACCCTACCTCGGTCGCAGAGATATAAAAAACGCAGACAAGTAAAAACACTGTGTATCCATACCACCTATCCATGATCAAGCAGTCACACGTATACAATTATTTATTGACACACACATATAATTCCCACAACCAAAAAGTATCATATGTCGTTATTTAAATTTTTAAGCGTACCTGTCCCTCTTATATAGTAGTAATTTAAACTAAAAATCAATACATGTACACCAGCACGTGGTTCTTACCTATCCGTTTCATGTTATTTTTTTCAAAATGTTTAATAAATTTATTTCTTAGCAATTTTTTTATCCACAAGTTTAAAGAAAGGCTATATTTCCCAACATTTGTAAATAATTTTTCAACAGAACATTTATGTAAAGCAAAATACATTGCACGGATTAAACTGACGGTAAGGGCAAAAAAAAAAAAAGAGGGAAGGGGGGGGGGCTAATTTCTGTTTTCTTTATTTTATGCCATTTTTTCTGTTTTCTATATTGTTTTTGTTCATGATCTCTATTCTATTTTCAGTCCATTATTCTCTGTACCCAATTGTCTATGCTGAAAAAATAAAATCTAACAACACAAACCAATTCAAAATCCGGGTAGCACTCTCAGATAATCTGGAAGGGTATGCAGTTTCTGCTTTACTGGTAACTGGCGTCGTGTTGCTCTTGATGAGTAAAATCCGATGATAGGTTAAATTGAGAGGACTAGATTTTTGTTACGACACATGGAAGATAGCATTGCCACCTATAACACAGATTTTAAGTAAAGGTTCATGACGGCGTTCTTAAAAGTTTCGAACTGTTTTCTTAAATTCCTGGAATAAAGCAGCTCTTTTTCAAGAGAATGCTGATCTATAGTTTATCTAAGTTAGCGTGCGCGTTTGAATACCTTGTGAATTGGATATATATTTCATGCATGAACGTGATGCAGGAATATTGCTCGAATTGCTTTATACATCGGGTTATACGACCGTCAGCAGTCTTCGGAGGTCATCTTGATGGATAATCAGATGTAGATGGCGTCTTGTCTAAAATACGTACGAAATGCTGATGAATTATAGCAATCCCAATACCGTTAATTGTTTCGTTTGGACTTTTTGTTTTATGGATATTCAATTTAGTATTTTATAAATAAGATATGAGAATTTGTGTAAAATCGGTGAACAAAAATTTGGCAGCTAATGCCCCTTTAAATAAAAGATCATACTAGTAATTGTTTCTATACGTTGTCCGTTCTTTATCAATTAAACAAAGTTAAATCTTATCTTTCAAACGGTCTTTAAATTTGAATAAGGAATATTGGGGTGTACGGGGCGGAGAGCTCAAATGTTTCAAAGCTATTGTACGACCTCGTTTGTTCGTTCTTTTAGATACCTATTACATTTTTAACAACCCGTGTCTAATTCACATCTCATCAAGAGAAGTCCCATTGTACGTCTTAAAACCACTAAAAAACGTTTAGTAAAGAAGCAATTTAACTACATACGTTTAATTATTCGTAATTTGTTTTTTGGTTGAGAGTTGTCTCATTGGCAATCATACCACATCTTCTTATTTTTTATATGAATCAACATAGATGTAGGGTATACATCATTGAGAAAAACGACAAATTTGTTCGTTAATAAAATATATCACGAATAAATTTACTGAAGCAATCAAAGTACTGCCTAATATTTAGAAGTATCACTAATCGATGTATTTCATTTTTTTCATCTTTTGTTTCATTTATAAATGAATTATTAAAATCTGCTTTGTTGTTGTTTGAAATCTATTAAATCTCAGCAATTTCGATAGGCGCATGGTTGCTGCGAAGTACCGGATTTCAAAGAACATCTTCACAATTATAAAAGCTTTTCCACAGCGGTGGTGTAGGAATCATAGTTTAAGTGGTAAACACTATAATGATTACTTAATTTTATCACAAATATAGAAATTGATTGTATAATAACAAGCTTTTACGGAACTTTTTATAAATTAAAGAAATATCGAAATTGTCCCTCAAGTCTGCCTTGGCAAATAAATATAACCGTTAGGATTTTCCAGCGGTTTTCCAATCACTGCATTTCGTATTTTTGGGGAGTAACAAAAATCATATATAGTCTGAGGCAATACTAAAATATTTCTTTTGGTTTTAATTAGAACAATTTGTTTTGGGATTTGCACAAGATCATGTGTTCCTGCATGTAGTGTTTATGAAAGTGATGAAATTAAGGTTCAATGAAGTAAAGCAACCGATATCTAGTCTTCATGATTTTTTAAATATACAAATAAGGGGATGTGGTATGATGCCAATGAGACAACTATTCACCAAAGTTCAAATGAAATTGGAGTAACCAGTTATAGGCAACCATACGGCCTTCACCAAGGAGAGAAAAAAAACATACCGTATATAAAAAGCCCCGAAGTGAATAATATGAAACAATTCAATAGAGAAAACTAACGACCTAATTTATAACAAAACAATTTACGAAAAACTAACCCCCCATACCCCCCTCTTCCACCTTGGATCCACCAATGAGGTTTGGTCAAAAACTAGATTATCGCCGCCATATTTTGACATCCCAACAATCGACAATCTTCGGGTGAATACGCTACTCTCCTTCTATCCTTATAGATGGAGGAATGGAATCGGCCGACTTTAGGCGAGTGATACGTCCAGCTAAAGTAATTTACAACTTTTTCGACCCGAGGCGATTTAGAGCTTGACGTATTGTACAGTCACCAGTATAAAAATAAGAAGATTTGGTACGATTGCCGACGAGACAACTCTCCATCAGAGATCAAATGACGTAGAAGTAAGGGATAATTACAGGTCACCGTATGGCCTTTAACAATGAATAAAACCATACCAAACAGCAAACTATATTGTTGAAAACCATATGCTGAACTCTCGATTTATTTTATTATTTTTGTTGCCGAGTTGCGGTCACGTTAACCTTTCTTCACATCTCGTTTTGTACTTACATGGCTTAGAATCGTAAAAGGGAACTAAACCCAAAGTCTAGAGCTCTGCCCAAAGTCTAGGCTTTCTTTTGAAAATACAAAATATAGCGGTAACTTATGTTCATATTGAAATTTTAAAGGTTTGTACGTAAAAAAGAATCTTTTACAAAAACATTGTTTTAATTAAAATAAAAAACACTTCATGTTTATTTAGTAATTCCAATGATTTTCTTTATTGTGTAAAAGAAAGAATGTGGTGTATTAATTCCTGGCCCAAAATCTTAACACGCACCTGACAATGCCAAAGCAAAAAAAAAACGCATTGTTATTGCTGTTGTATTCAATTTTGGTTCACTTACTTGGATTTAATACTTCGACATTGTTTTATAGATTTGAACAACTGATAAAATATTTGTATCGTTACTTTAGTTTCCCAGAAGCAAATTGTTACATCAGACAGAGCATCTATAAGAGTATTTCTTCGTATCTTTTTTTTTTCTTCTTTTTATACGCCCGTCAATTTATGACGGGACGTATTATGGTATACAAATGTCCGGTGTCCGTCCGTCTGTCCGTCTGTCCGTCTGTCTGTCCGGCGTAAACATGTCGCACCGTAACTTGAGAATGACTTATCCAAATTTCATGAAACTTAACATAGTTGTTTCTTATGATGGTCAAACGATCTGTATACTTTTTGGTGAAAATAAGATTAAAACTTTTTGAGTTATGGGACTTAGTAACTAAAACAGGTGTATGTTTTTTTTTTCACATGTCGCGCCGTATCTCAAAAACAGTTTATGATTATTGCTTAAAACTTTATACACTTCTTAGTTATATTAACCTTAAGATCTGTATACTTTTTGATGATGATTCAAAATTTTATTTTTGAGTAATTGAGTATTTTGTTAAAAAAAGGGGGAGGGGTTTTTCACATGTCGCGCCGTATCTCAAAAACAGTTTATGATTATTGCTTAAAACTTTATACACTTCTTAGTTATATTAACCTAAAGATCTGTATACTTTTTGATGATGATTCAAAATTTCATTTTTGAGTTATTGAGTATTTTGTAAAAAAAGGGGGAGGGGTTTTTCACATGTCGCGCCGTATCTCAAAAACGATTTATGATTATTGCTTAAAATTTTACACACTTCTTAGTTATATTAATCTAAAGATCTGTATACTTTTTGGTTTTGATTCAAAATTCTATTTTTGAGATATTGATTTTTTTTTTTTAAAGGGGGGTTTTCACATATCGCGCCGTATCTCAAAAACGATTTATGATTATTGCTTCAAATTTTACACACTTCTTAGTTATATTAATCTAAAGATCTGTATACTTTTTGGTTTTGACTCAAAATTTTATTTTAGAGATATTGAGTTTTTTGTAAAAAAAAAGGGGGTTTTCGCATGTCACGCCGTATGTCAGAAACTATTTATGCTTATTGCATAAAAATTCACACACAAGACGACGGGCGTATCATACGCTCATGGCGCAGCTGTTTATTTTATTTGTGTTACTTTTCCCACTTCTGCCTGTAATCTAAAAAAATGCAGAACAACACGTCTTTTTGGTGTTTCGAGAACAAATCATGTAGTCCGAGTATTGAGTAAAAAAAAAAGTTAAGTAAGTACAATAATATTATTTTGTTAATTTCGATCCCCAATTATTTTTCGTCAATTTACAAGTTCATTTGCCTTAAGGAGTAGGGCCACGAAGGGTTAAAAACGGCCCTGTCTCAGAAATTGAAAAAAATTACTGCAGAAGGATCACTAACTAGTATAGTTCATAAAATGATAACCATTAGACTTGTAACTGTGTTTGTATAATTTTCCAGGGCGTCAGAAAAGACAAGGTACAATGATATTTTAGCCAGTTCCGGTTTGATTCCGGGTATTACGTCACATTAATGACGTCACAAAAATATGATTTTACACTATAATAACAAATAACGATATACGTAGATATGTTTTAGTTATAAAGGATCCACCTTATTTCTCTTTTATTTTTTGTCACTTCACAGGGCCAATATCGGCATAAGAATTTCAATCATGAATTTAAACAAAGGACATAATTTTGTGATATAATTTTACCATTTAATCGGTATTTGACCAAAATTAGGTTTTGCCAAGTGAAACTGCTTTACATAATTTTACGATCAAACTAAAATATATATATACATATCAAAATAAGAAAAAAAAAATTATTGTCCCAATTAAGGACTCTTGATGGACAGTATGACATTTACACACAGAACACAATATACAATGATTTTGAAAAACATTTTCACATTGCAATGATATATGAAATTTTTAATATATATTTATCAAGCTTCCTATATTTCTTTATCTTATATAAATCATGAACATTTCATTCCATATATATGCCGTTTGTTATAATACTTTTTTTTTATAACTATTACATATCATTTGGTCCAGTACCTACTGTAATGCAACATATGCAACAATTAACAAATTCTTGTTTCAAAGTAACACCGACTTTGTGAGAAACACAAATCAATGTAAAAAAGGGCCCTTAAGTCATTTCAAAAAATCAATTGTTTTTGTAAACAAACTGAAATCATGCAAACAACTGTCGCTTTGAATATTTTAATCCTCGCCGAAAAATGCAATCAATCTACCAAAATTTGGAAACACGAGTTTGTAATTTGAAATTGGACTATATTGGATGGAGAGTTGTCTCATTGGCACTCATACCACATCTTCTTATATCTATATAAGGACAGGAACAAAATGTACCGGAATATTGACTTGGACATACAAACTACTGCAATATATCCACATTCCATGTGTATTTTAAGACATTTAGTAATTTATTGATTTCTAGCGTAAACAATTTACAGAATGCATATTACTTATTATCTTAATTACCAAGTACACATTTAGTATCTTTGGAAACAATGAATATGGAAACAGAAGGAAAACATATTTGTAACCATGAAGTAACATTAATTTACATTTATTTGCACATTAAACTGTGTTACAAAAAAATCAATAAAGTATGTTTTTTTTTAATATTTTTATTTGGAACTCGTTATTTCACATTAAAAATTAAACTGACAGTCAAATGACCATGTGAGTTCTCAGAAATTCTAAGGTTTTTCTACCCCAAGAAATGATTACCTTAGTTGTAATTGGCAAAACCTTTCGGATTTTTGGGTCTTCAATGCCTTTCAACTTCCTACGTTATTTGGCCTTTTAACGTTTTTACCAAAATTTGTTTTTCGCCCCCTTTATCCCACACCCCAATAGCGTGTCATATACGTGTAAATAATTTACAATCATTTCATAGTTTGTTTATACGAATGTAAATTATAACGCCATTGTCAATGCATATTATTGGAATGCATGATTGATTGATTCTTGGTTGCTTAACGTCAAGTGGCAAATATTTCATGCATTTTCAGAACGAGGCATGCATGATGTTTTGTGATCTTAATATGCTCTAAAAATGCTTCATTGATATAATTATGTAATCATATAAACTGCAGAGATACACAGAGATAATCCTAATATAAACGTGATAAATGGATGAATATCAGTTAGTTATGGAGTAGACCCAGAGTAAAAAATGTGCGATCTTTTCAGTATGAGGGTAATCAACACTTTACCCCAGACATATATATGATTTATAAAAGAGTATACTTATGCAAGGTATAGTAGTAGTGTTGTGTATGCTGTTGTTTGCCTTTTCGTCGTTAGGTTTTTGTCCATGGTATTGTCTGTTTTTCTGCGACTAATGATGTTTAATAGTCTTCTTGGTATCTTCTGCCTCTATTCTTATGTGTATTTGACTTGCCAATACTAGATGTGATCAAAATTTTCAATACAACGATCTATAAGAAATTATTTTTTCTGCGTTTCGAGACTCCTATCTTAACTGAGGGTGGTAAAGGGTTATTTTCGTGCAACGTGTTTTGCCATTTTTATTTCACGTGCAGCCGTGAAAAAGGTTCGTTATTCACCGTGTTTCGTGAAATCGGTAAAAAGATCAACGTGCAAGAAATTTTTAATTGTTCGTTCATCGTGAAATGATAATTTTATTTCGCGATCTTCCGTGCAGATACCCCCCCCCCCCCTTTACGCCCCTCTTAACTGACTAGGATTTCAAGTTTTCCTGCCGAATATTGGTGGTTCTCTCGGGGTACTTCGGCTTTTCTCACCAATAAAAACTGGCCACCACGATATATAGTCAAGAGTACTGAAAATTGCATTAATAACCAACAATCAATCAATCAATATATTTTAATAAATTATCAAAAAAATTTTATTATTCAAAACCTTTTATAAATAACAGATTGAATAGTACAGACTATACATATATGAGGTATTTTACTTTACATTATATATTCTATAAGACGTTATCATTCATATACTTTGACCTCAGCTAATTGCAGAAAATTATCTGCTGTGTTCTCCTCCATGATCTGTAGTTTGACATAGCGAGCCTCAATTGGCTGCATGCAGACGAGGATGACCTGTTCCCCATTCTGAGCCCTTCCTTTGTAATGATCACACAAGCTCATAACTGACAATGACTTCCCAGCAGTGACATCTAAGTTGTGTAGTCTATGTCCTATACATATGAATACATAAATAAATAATAAATAAATAAATATATGTGTTACAATAGTCGATTGCTAAGAATACATGTATGTTTTGAAATTCCATATGTCATCGATATACATTTGTTATTTCTGATTTTTTTTTCTTGAACGGTAGCATTAAACCAACAGCAAATGCTACCTTAGCTGGCTTCCTGTAGTAGCGAGCTCATTTTCACCCTGCTTTCCGAACAGTGTGCAGTGTTTTATATCTAGTTATCGGTCATCATTTTTGTAATTGGACTGTGCAGTATTTTTTACAGTGTGTGTTTACCTTCACGACACATGGTCTAAATAGACAAAGGAGGGAGTTTGTGCTCTAGTAAAAAAAGGTTTAAAAAATTGAGAACATCTGATTTGTTCCGGTACCAAGTCAGGCTATATGGTCCATGTGTTGTTCGTTGTTGCATGTCTTCGTTTGTATGTTTGACAACATCTGATTTGTTCCGGCAACAAGTCAGGCTATATGGACCATGTGTTGTTCGTTGTTGCATGCCTTCGTTTGTATGTATGACAACATCTGATTTGTTCCAGCACCAAGTCAGCCTATATAGACCATGTGTTGTTTGTTGTTGCATGTCTTCGTTTGTATGTATGAAAACATCTGATTTGTTCCTGCACCAAGTCAGGCTATATGGACTATGTGTTGTTTGTTGTTGCATGTCTTTAAAATCTGATTTGTTCCGGCACCAAGTCGGGCTATATGGACCATGTGTTGTTCGTTGTTTATTCCGGCACAAAGTCAGGCTATATAGACCATGTGTTGTTCATTGTTTATTACTGCACCAAGTCAGGTTATATAGACCATGTGTTGTTCATTGTTTATTACTGCACCAAGTCAGGCTATATAGACCATTTGTTGATCGTTGTTTGTTCCTGCACCAAGTCAGGCTTTAGGGACCATATGTTGTTCGTTGTTTGTTCCTGCACCAAGTCAGTATATATAGAACATTTGTTAGTTGTTTATTCCTTTACCAAGATTAGCTTTAGAGAACATGTGTTGTTCATTGTTTGTTACTGCACCAAGTCAGGCTATATGGACCATTTGTTGTTCGTTATGAAATATAGGTATTAAAAAGCTTCATATTTCGGAAGGAAGAAGACATGGACACTTTATATCTTGTTTACATACACTGCATGTTCGGATGTTTCTGTCTGGCATATATCACTTGTCCTTGAACTTTTTTAATGATTCAGAGACTGCTTAAAACCTATATTTGTATTCAAGAAAAAATGAGTAATAGGACAACTATATTTCGTATATTGAATCATTGCCAGGTATACATGTCTGTCAGACGAAGGTTCACCTAACCTTTTACTCCATTTCATAGATCAGTTTAATGTCGTGATTAGGTCGATTTCTCAGAAACTAAAAGAAATAGATCAACCTTATTTGGTATGTAGAATGCTTGTATGATGAACATATCAGTCTGACAGAGTTCATCTGACCTTGACCTCATGTTATGAATATGAGCTGTATTCTGACATGTAATTGCTGCAACCAAATCTCGACAATGAATAAAATAACATTTTTTAATTTGGTGTGTCCGAAGCGTTTTCCTCATCTAGAATGCTAAAACACCAAAAAATGAAAACCGAAGTTGTATAAATATGTGAATACGTGTGGAGCTATACGACCAAAAGGGACCGAAAAAAAAAATAACGTCGGGTCTGAATGGGTCGGTTGTCATTTCTGTGTTTTTAATTGTTTAGACTGTTTTCTCTATTCTTTATATTTTAGCACATCATTATTCACTATTCTTTATATTTTGTCAATTTTTTCTCTATTATTTAATTTTTTACCCGTTAATTCTCTATGCTGTTAACCCGATTAAGACCCACATAACGGTCTTTTTACGCCAGAATGATTTCATAGCCGTGTCGCTGTTGAATACTGTTGTTTGCATCTTTTTTCTCGTCCCTTTTCGAGAGACTAGCAGAGTTTACGCTGTCTCATCCAAGAAGTTGGTGTGATGGGGATATTTAAGTCCATTGCAACCACATGATACATTGTAGTTAACTAATAACACGATTCGAAAGGAATATCTTAAATTCATAACCATAGCACACTCAGATGGCACAATAGATACATCATCCACAAAATGTAACACCCAGATGAACATGAGTGCACACGCTGAAATGTCTCGCCTGTCTTACTTACCATTGAATTTATGTTGAAAGTCTGTAACATGAAGGTTCTACTACAAGTACAGTAATCACATAAACATAACATTATCAATGTTCTATGATAATGAGGTCATGGTCAGATGAACCAGGCCAGATAGACATATACACCTTACAATTATTCCATACACCCAATATAGATGACCTGTTTTTTATAGTATGTACTGATCTGATAAACAGACAAAATTACGAAAATTTAACATTGACCAATGAACTTTGAAAATGAGGTCATTAGGAAAAGATCAGATAATACCTGACAGACATGTCCACCTTACAAATGTCCCATTCACCACACATAGCTGACCTATTGCTATAAGAACATGTAGTATTTGAAAAACCAACCAAAACGTTTGTACAAACACCTAACATTGACCAATGAACCATGAAAATGAGGTCGTGGTCAGTTGATACTAGACCGACATGCAGACCTTACATTCATTCCATACACCAAATATAGTTGACCAACATGCTTATAGAACTTGAAAAACAGACCAAAACACAAAAACTTAACATTGACCAATGAACCATGAAAATGAGATCAAGGTCAGATGAAACCTGCCAGACTGACATGTACCCCTTACAATCATTCCATACACCACATAAAGTTGACCTTCTGCTTATAGTATCCGAGAAAGGACCTAATCATTTAACTTTACTCTTGACCACTGATTCATGAAATTAGGTCGAGGTCTGACGAACACGTAGGCGTTGAAAGGAACCCATATGCCTAACATAGTTATCTTAGGTCACACCAATTTAATTCCCTGTTCGACGGACCCGCCCGCACATACTTTTTTCTAAACGGAAAACATTATTTTTTTAAAAATATTCCCGCTTCCCGCATCCGGAAAAGTAATCGTGTCTACTAGTATTTCCCGCACCGGTTTTTTTTGTAATCATTTAAAAAAATAAAAAGCGATCGCAAGATTGCTTTAGTCAACAGTAAATCGCGACCCTTTAAACTGTTTCTAGCATTAACACAGATTTCTTATCAAAGTCAAGAACGATTCTTCACAAAATCATGCCAAGTTTCGTTGTTAGAATAAACGACGCTGAAGGGGGAGAAGTGTTACCTTCAACTGCAATATTGTCGACGGAACAAAACTATCCATACCCGCTGCATTTTTATGTACCTGTCCTAAGTCAGGAGCCTGTTGTTCAGTAGTTGTCGTTTGTTGGTGTGGTTCATAGGTGATTCTCGTTTTGTATATAGATTAGACCGTTGGTTTTCCTGTTTAAATTGATTTACACTAGTCATTTTGGGGGCCCTTTATAGCTTACTGTTTTGGTGTGAGCCAAAGCTCCGTTCTTTGACCTATAATTGTTAACTTTAAATACATTGTGACTTGGATGGATAGTTGTCTCATTTGCACTCATACCACATCTTATTTATATACAAAGTGCCAAAAAGACAACGAACAAAAATGAGAACACCAAAACAATGGAGACACAGACAACCAACATATAACACAAAAAATTAAAAAGTACACACATCAACGAACAGCACGAACCCCAAAAAACTGGGGGATCCGGAGTCCGGACGGATGAGCAGTTCCTGCTTCATGCAAGACACCCGCCATATTACTAGTTATAAGTCATGTCCTGTGAAGGAGGAAAGACATTTATGACAATTCAATCGAGATCATTTAAAGCAGATGCAATAATTATTCAATTATTCAGTTCAAGATCTGATGTCCTCAGAAAGTAACTACAGTAATACAAGAAATCATAAATATGCTGCAATACTAAAAGTTGGTTTTACATCTCTTGATGAACAAGGAAAAAACACTTCAGCAGATGATAAATTAAAGAAATGTCAAAGTACGAGTGGTAAATCAAGTTTCATACCATCTTGGTTTGATCAATCGTTAGAACCTATGCTTTTATGTTTACAATATATATTTTCTGGTATCACTACTGCAAAACATAACTGTTAAATGACCCGTTTAAGGTAAAAAATGTCAATTCATAAATTTTATGACGTTACAGTGAGATCACCACTAACATGGGTTTTTTTCTAAAGTGTCTAGATTATATTATCCTATTACTTTATCGATACAATTAAGATTTAAGAATTTGAATATTTTCGGAATTTCAATGGAAAGCAGAGCTATGGCTCTTATATACTTAATTCTTTCACTGTTCACAGCTTGACTTTTGAGCATACTATCTCGTTGTACTATAATCTCAAAGTGAAAGAATCCATCATATCCATTGCTACGTATTAAGTTCTATTATTATATTACCAGCTTCCAATCTGTTGTAGACGTCAACACGACGGACTTTGTAAGTGTTTCCTAAGTCGACCCACCAATATGGTTTGCTCGTTCCATAGTTAACTCCATCACTGAAATCGGTATGTGCTGTGTGAGAAAAGGTGTCTAGGTTCCCATCAATAGCATAGTTACATGTGAAACCATTAGTAGAACTTTGTCCACATGTCTTTCCGACTACAAGGTCGATTCTTCTAAAATCTGTTGAAGATAAAAACATTAGGACATGGTAAATCTGGTTTAGCAAACTTTTTGATGAAATGAAACACAATTATAGTGTCTAATACATATTATATGACAGTGATAGATCCAGGGATGAAGAGGGCGTACGACCCCCTTTGATTGCAAAAAAACTTAAAAAAACTTATGTTCATCACGATATATGTAAATTTTTAGTATAAAATCGTCCAAATTATTTATAACCTAGCTCCGCTCGGCAGTCTATGTTCAATTATCGGGAATAACGCCCTCTTTCAAAAATCCAAGATCAGCCCCTGTCTAAAGACACTTTCTATGGTGTCTGTAGGGAGAGGTCATATCAGCAAGGGATGTTATATGTAAAGAAGGGGTCGATAGAGACACTTTCTATGGTGTCTATAGGAAGGGGTCATATCAGCAGATGATGTTATGAGTAAAGAAAGGGTTGATAGAGACACTTTCTTTGGTGCCTATAGGGAGGGGTCATGTGATGTTATAAGTGAAGAAAGGGTCGACTGAGATACTTTCTATGGTGCCTATAGGAAGCGGTCATATCAGCAGGTGATGTTATAAGTAAAGAAAGCGTCGATAGATACACTTTCCATGGTGCCTATAAGGAGAGGTCATAACAGCAAGGGATGTGATAAGCAAAGACGAGGTCGATAGAGACACTTTCTATGTTGCCTATAGGGAGTCAGGGGTCATATCAGCAGGTGATGTTTGAAAAGAAAGGATCGATAAAGACACTTTATATGGTGCCTATATGGAGGAGTCTTATCAGCACGTGATGTTATAAGTAAAGAAGTGGTTGATAGAGACACTCTAATGTGTATATAGGGAGGGGTCATATCAGCAGGTGATGTTATAAGTAAAGAAAAGGTCGATAGAGACACTTTCTATGGTGCCTATATGAAGGGGTCATATCAGCAGGTGATGTTATAAGTCAATAAAGGATCGATAGAGACCCTTTCTACTAGGGAGGGTCGTGTCAGCAGGTGATGTTATAGGCAGAAATGGGCTCTTTATCAACAGTGTATACGCGAAGTATAGAATCCTTTTTGATGGTAATATATCATTCAAATTGATTCTACTTCTATGTGTATTGTTGTAAACTGTTGTAAAAGGCCCCTTCACTGCGTCGTCCACCTATATGGGATTGTGTATGAAAGAGTTGAATCAATTCTTCTAGGTTCACTTTTCTCCAAAAATGACCGAAAGAATTGAGGCAAATTATACAATACAAGAACACACCCGCGACATTGTGGGTCCGTGACTGAATTAAAGTACCTACGCCTTGTATTTGGACGGGATTTTTAGTATTCGTATTGTCATCTGACAAAGTCGTGCTGTTTTAATAATGCACAGTTTTCTCTGCTTTTAAAATCTTTCTGTTTGAACCCGTCCTGGTTTTCTTACTACAATCGGAAACCTACATGTGACAACGATTGAATTTAGTAGTGTCAATCCCTGTATAATGACGAAGTTCAGGTGGGATTATGTCCCGTGTATATAGCAAATCCCAAATACACCGTTTGGTGGTACGCCCGAATATAGCAACTTTTTTCAGACAAAAACTAATCTAAATGGTATTCCTTTTTCCCAGATTTACGCTATGGTGTCATTAAATGTCCTTTTTTTATCATGTTTTATCCTAAAATAAGACCGAATTCCTTTAAGACCCCTTCTAGATAATTTAAAGATATTATTTGCGTTAACCCCAAAGGTGACTCAGGAACAGAAAAGTGGTCACTTTTGGTCTTCTTCCGGTCGGCAGTAAAACTTTTGCCAAAGTTTGGTCGTGTGTGTGGGATCTATAAATGCGCAACCACACGTCTGGTCAGAAAGTTTGCATGTTGCAAGGCTAAATTTCTGTTTCTGTTTCTGTCCAATATACCCTTATTTTCTAGGTAAACTGATAGAAAGTCACAAATTTGATAGGACAGTAAGTCACAGGACACAACATTATAATTTGTTTATTATAGTTTGAATATATAAGAGAAAGATCTTGAAATAATTTCTTTCTATTACATATATTAATTTTGAATTGTTCATAAGTCTTGATAAAGGAAGATTTATCAAATTTTGATCATGCAAAGGATATATTTCTTGGTACCATGAAGCCATTTAAGTATCAATCCACTTAGACAAATTGTTTTCTTAACAATTTTGTTTAGAATACATTTTGTTTACAAAGTTGCTTTATATATAATAATAACAGAATATTTAATTTATATACATAAATGTTTTTAAAAATAAGAGTTTTCTTATTCAGGGAAAAATAATCTCAAAACTGAATTGTGACTTTATGTCCTGTGACTTTTTGTCCGTTCCTTTTTGTCTGTGTCTTTTTGTCCTGTGACTTTCTCTCCTACATTTATTTTCTAGTGACAGTTTAAATTTCCCGCGATTCATCCCGATTAAAGGACCTTCCGGTTGTATTCATTGTTAATTTGTCATCATCCTGAGCATGCATGAAATATTTGGCACTGGACGTAAAACAAACCCCGATCAATCAATCTAACAATTTGTATTATTCCTAATATCAGTGTAAATTAAATATTCCCCTTCTGCTAGTGCTATCAGTGATATATGTCGAATATTAGTACAATAAGTAATCGATAAATTGAATTTTAATTGTATACAAGAAAAGAATAAAGCAAATAAACACTGGTTCCTCTATCAAAATATATGTAATGAAATAAGTAGTAACTGTATATATTGATACAAATTATAAATACACTTACACCATGATCACGGATATCGCACATATATATATCACGATCACCATAAACGTGGTCAAACTGCAGAACCCCCCTTCCTAAATTAACAAAATCTATCGTTTTGCATTTATTATAAAAATCCTTGTGTAAATCATATTAGTTGGATGATCAACTTCATTTAGTGTTCTTCAAACAAAAATCTTTTAACGAAAATCTGACAGTCTTATTTTTTAAACGAATTATAAGTTAAGTTCCTGCTATAAGTTCAAATAGAGCATTACTAAAACTTTACTGTTTTTTCTCAATTAATTTATGTTTTCTCATTGTGAACCTAAAAAAAAACAACTTTAAACAGTGTATTCAAAAATTTATAAAACATTTAAAATATACTTTTCTGTGATCTTAAAAATTAATCTCATAGTTTCTTATTATTGTTATTTATCTTAATTTGATTAATAAAGCAAACAGAATAAAAATAAGAATATTTATTGAATCCAATTAAAGGGCCCGTTTCCGAGCATATACATATATATATAGTATTAATTATGCAGTAATTTTTAAAATATATTACCTTAAAATAAATGATTAAATAACTATACTCCATACCAGATGGTGTTTGAAAATAAATAAAATAGAATATTAACCCTCTCTAATACATGAAAATAAATAAACTACTGTAACAGCACTACTACATGTATATTTGGTTAGCTACTGGAATGCAAATTTTCTCTTATTTCAAAACAAGTACTTATAAATCTTGACACTGACATATTAACATTTTCAGACTCACATGCCATTAACCAAATAAATTTTTCATACTTTGAAATAAAAGGGAAGTTTTTATATTGAATGCATGTTTCATTAAGAATAAAATTCCGTTCCTTTTCATATGCAGTGCATTCCATTAAAAAATGAAACTCGTCTTCAACCTGCATATTTTTACACTGCCCACAAAATCTTTTATCTTTATCGATTTTTTTATATCTACCTTTCTCAATAGCTAACTGATGAGCACTGATTCTAAATTGAGTTAAGCTTTTTCGATACTGAAATTTATTAACTTGACATAAATATGCTTCCTTTTTGAAGATGTTTTTAAATTTAAAATAAGTACGCAATTTTCCTTTTTTTTAACATTTGCATTATCTTCTATAGTATTTTTCCAGTAAATCCTATATCTACTAATCAAAATATTTTTAACTTTTTCAATGTCAAAACTTTCCATATCAACATCAATACATCTTGAAATATATACAATACTAGTACCAAGATGACTTATTACATTTGTGAGTGTCAATACTTGTGAATAGGGCTTGTTTTAATAAATGATCCTTTTCTAAACCATTAATTCTTTGTACAAATTTAAGAATAGAACAAATTAATTCTTTGTAAAAATTTAAGAATAGAACAAATGATTTCAATATGCAATGGAGTACGACCTAACTCTCCCATAACAGCTAAATTACATGACTTTTTATTTACCCCGAGAATGTATTTGTAGAACTTTAAACTTAAGTTCTCGCAATCAAACTTACTAAATTTTTTCTCAATTTCAAAGGGGCTGTTTGTTTGACATTTTGAAAAATTAAAAGTACAAGTTCCTCAAATTTCTGAGCCATATGTTAAAATTGGCTTTATTGTATGGTCAAAGATATGTAAACAACTATCAATTTTTGGGATGTTTTCACCGAAAGTACTTTTTAACTTAAAAAAAGCTTTTAATCCCCTTTGATACAAATCATATCTAGCCGTAGAAAAACTTCCAGAAGCAGAATAAAAAAACACCTAGATATTTATAATTTCTAACATTCTCAATTGGTTCACCATTAAAATAAAAGTTACTTTTAATTATTTTACCACCTTTGTTAAAAATTACAATTTTTGTTTTCTTTAGATTAACCTGAATACACCAACTTTTACAATATTCTTCTAATTTATTTAAACATCTACTCAAACCTGTTTGACTAGTAGAAAGAAGCACAACATCATCGGCATACATTAAACAATTAAGTTTTGTACTTCCTATTTCAGCTGGTACACAGTATTCATCAAAAATACACGGCAAATCATTGACAAATATCTTGAAAAGATTGGGACTTAGATTATCCCCTTGTCTAACTCCAATGTTAGCTTTAAGTTTATCTGTTAATTTATCATTTAATCTAACTTGTAAAAAATTATTATTATACATGTTCTTAATAATATTACAAAAATAACCCCCTATCCCAATGTTTTGGAGTTTTAACAACAAGGCTTCATGAACTACAGAATCAAAAGCTTTCC